ATTAGTAAATAGATTTAGTAACCAGACAGCTGCGTTGTTGAATCTCTCTACCCATGCTTGTCCAGTAACTATGTTATAGCAGACATTACATTGGCGACGAGGATGATTGGATAATACTTTTCACAAGTTTAATTAATTCTAGAGGACTTGTTAATAATAAGTTCAGTGATAAAGTTATTGTGGCTATTTTCAAGAATCAAGGATTTCTATAAATTATTTCAAGATGGCATCTTTTGAACTGCCAACGCCACAGCCTTTCAAAGTTATTGGACAAACTACCAACTTATCCAGTTCTTGGGACAATTACATCAAACGTTTTGAATATTACATACATGCAGCCGGAATAACAAAAGACGAAAGAAAAAAAGCTCTCCTATTACACCTGGGAGGAGAAGAATTACAAGACATATATGAGACATCAATCCGCCAAGAAAATTCTTATAGCCAAACAGTCAGGGATTTAACTCATTACTTTAATCCAAGGAAAAACATAGCATATGAAAGACATAGATTTAGACAGGAAAAACAACACTCAGATGAAACTGTAGACGATTACATTGTAAGACTAAAAAAACTCTCAGTATCTTTTGATTTTCCAGAAAATACAGCAGACGACATGATTCGCGATCAAATTATAGAACATTGTACCTCAAAAGAATTAAAGATCAGATTTCTACGCGAACAAGACCTAACATTAGAAAAAATTCAACATATTGCCCGCACAACAGAACTTGCAAACTTGCATGCCAATGAAATACAACAGTCTACAAGAAATCAACACAAATTAGATTATACCTATCAAGATGACGTAAATCATGTTAAACACAAACCAACTAGACAGCGGAAGCAGTACCAGCCAAGAGCCAGACCAGCACAAAAACCGACACAATTCAAGAGCTGCTACCGTTGCGGAGGTAAAGGTCATTCTGGTCACGAATGTCTTAAATCTCGTAATATTACGTGTCGTAAATGCAACAAGCTTGGACATTATGCAAACATGTGCAAATCTCAAAAAAAGCCACGTGCATTACGTAAATGATCATCAAGAAAATGTAAATGTACAACAAGACGAATGTGTATTCAACATAAATTCAAGATGTCAGTCACCATATGTGCAAGTTGAAATAGAAGGAATTAAATGTAAATTGCTCATAGATTCTGGAGCTAGTGTTAACTGCCTAGATCGCGCAACCTTTGAAAAAGTGAAAACAAAATCAACATCACTTCACAAATGTCATTCAAAGATCTACCCTTATGCTCAAAAAATACCTTTGAAAGTTCTTGGAATTGCAGAAATGAAAATGAAATTAAATGAAAAGGAAACAAAAATAAAATTTCACATCATTGATAAAGAATGTACACCACTATTAGGACAACAAACTGCAGTTGATCTAGGATTACCTAAATTCTGCATAAACAATGTGAAAACAAATCAAAATAACATGGATAATATTTTATCGGAGTTCAGTGACAGATTTCAAGGATTGGGAAAACTCAAAGATTTCCAGCTACAGCTACATATCAACAAAGATGTTAAGCCCATTGCACAGCCAAATCGCAGAATACCTTTCAAAATGCGACAGTCAGAGAAAAAATTAAACAACTACTAGATTCTGACGTCATAGAAAAAGTTGAAGGTGCTACACCATGGGTGTCACCCCTGGTAATTATTCCGAAAAGTAATGGAGACATAAGAATTTGTGTAGACATGAGACAAGCAAATACAGCAGTTGAACGTGAACGGTTTTCAATGCCGAACATTGACGAAACACTAGAGGAACTAAGTGGAGCCAAATTCTTCACTAAACTAGATCTAAACATGGGGTATCACCAGATAGAGCTCGAACCACAATCAAGAAAAATAACAACATTTGTCACAAACGATGGAATATATCGCTATCGCCGACTTATGTTTGGAATTTCCTGTGCTTCAGAAGTCTACCAACGTATAATACAACATACTCTTCAAGACATACCGAACTGCAAAAATATTTCGGATGATATATTGGTATATGGCACAACAAAAGAACAACATGATGCCACATTGCGTAAAGTTCTAAGACAAAAACCTAACTCTGAACAAAAGTAAATGTGAATTTTGCAAGACAACCATTACATTTATGGGTCACACCCTCACAGCTGATGGAATCATGCCACATGATGACAAAATAAAGGCAGTGCTAAATACAACACCACCAAAAAATGTGAAAGAAGTTAAATCTTTCTTAGGACTGCTTAACTACTGCTCGAAATTTCTTCCCAATTTCGCAACAATTTCGGAACCTATCAGAAAACTAACAAGAAAAAATGTTCCATTCGACTGGGAAAAAGAACAACAATCTGCGTTTGAACAATTAAAATCACTGATAACAAGTGCAAGTGTCATGGCTTTCTACAACCCAGAAGCTGAGACAACTCTAATGGTCGATGGCTCACCATATGGTTTGGGTGCAATTTTGGTTCAAAAACAAAATGATGGACATTTAAGACCTGTAGCATATGCAAGCAGAACACTAAATGATGTTGAAAGGCGTTACAGTCAAATTGAAAGAGAATGCTTAGCAGTAACTTGGGGGATAGAAAAGTTTCACACTTATCTGTATGGATTAATCTTTAAAGTAATTACAGACCATAAACCGCTAGTCAACATTTTCAAGCCAACACACAAACCTCCAGCTAGACTAGAAAGAATGCTTCTTAGACTACAAAGTTACAAATTCAACATCGAATTTCAATCAGGAGCATTAAACCCAGCTGACATCCTCTCAAGGTCAACATATAGTCAAGAAAAATGTGAGATATCAAATATCACAGAAGGTTACATGGATTATGTGTGCGAAAATGCCGTGCCAATGGCTATGACCTTAGATCAAATTGATAAAGAGTCATCTCAGGACAAATTCATTCAAGAACTAATCAAGTGCATTCAGCATGATAAATGGCCGAAAAATCAAGATTTCAAGATTTTCTACAAGTTACGCAATGAACTGTCGGTACATAATAACATTGTGTTACGGGGAAACAGAATTGTAATTCCACAGGGACTAAGGACAAAAGTATTACAAATAGCACATGAAACACATCAAGGCATAGTAAAAACAAAGCAAATGCTAAGAGAAAAAGTTTATTGGCCTGGCAATGACAACGAAATTGAAATGCTGATTAAAACGTGCTTCCAGTGCCAGTTAGTTTCAAACCCGCCACGACAACTTCCTATCACACCAACCGAATTACCAGAAACACCCTGGCAAACCGTTGGAATGGATTTAACAGGACCGTTCCCAGGGGGAGAATATATTCTTGTAGTAATAGATTACTACTCTCGTTATCCAGAAGTTGAAATCATGAAATCATTCACTTCAAGATGTATCATTCAAAGACTTAAGAAAATATTCGCCACACATGGACACCCGTCAGTGATTAAAACGGACAATGCACCAAACATGGTATCTCAAGAAATCACAAACTTCTTCACTGCAAATGGAATAAAACACCAACGTGTTACGCCTTAGTATCCACAAGCAGCAGGATTAGTAGAAAATTTCAACAAAACAATAGCAAAATGCGTTAAGACTGCTAACAATGGAAAGAAAAACTGGCGAACAGAAATCTACAAATTTTTGATGACATATCGAACAACCACTCATGTATCCACAGGATCCGCACCTGCATCCCTATTATTCAACAGAACAATTAGGAATAAACTACCGCACTTTGAAAGAAAGAAAAATGACACAAAAGTAAGAAAAATGGACTCATACAAAAAACAAAACATGAAGAAATACGCAGACAGGCAGGCAAATACTCGGATTATAACATATAAACTTGGACAGAAAGTGCTTATTCTAAACAAACATCAAGGAAAATTAGACTCAAAATGGAATAATGAAATATACACTGTTATTGGACAAACGGGACAATGACATTGTGAGAAGGCATATCACTCAAATCCGTCCATTTTATCAGAGATAAACTGTCAGACACATTCTCAATGAAAACAAACTGACCATACAGACTAACCATTAAACTAAGAAAATTAATGACATGTTTCAGGAAATGATTACTTTAAATTAAATAGCAATAAATGCTATCATTCAAACTGCTAGAGAAAACATTAAGATTAATCAGTGTAACATTATTTTCTGAGACTGTTTACAAAAATGTCTAAACTTTATTGCTCTGAAACTTCATGCGTCTTAGATAAATGACCACTATTATTTTAACAATGACATGCTAGATTATGTTCATGATTATAATGCTTTTTATTTCAGGATTTTGAGTTCATGAACTTTTTTAAACTACTTGCATGTTATTCTTCTGAGAAAAAGGCGGATGTAATATATTGACTCGCTATTGGTCAGCTAGTATTAGCCACTAGCTGATAAGCCCCGCCTAAATTCACCTGGCATCACCTCTATATAGTATCATTAGTAAATAGATTGAGTTACAAGACAGCTGCGTTGTTTAATCTCTCTACCCATGCTTGTCCAGTAACTATGTTATAGCAGACATTACATTCCCTCACTTTACACTAAGTGTCCTCATTTTGCACCATGTGTCCTCACTTTACACCATGTGTCCTCACTTCATACCATGTGTCCTCACTTCATACTACTCAGTTTTCACTTTACACCATATGTCCTCACTTCACACCCTGTGTCCTCACTTTACATCACGTGTCCTCACTTTACACAATGTGTCCTCACTTCACACCTTGTTCCCTCACTTACACCAAGTGTCCTCATTTCACACCAAGTGTCCTCATTTTGCACCATGTGTCCCCACTTCACACAATATGTCCTCACTTTACACCATGTGTCCTCACTTGTCACCAGCACTTGTTAGTATCGAGAGTGGTTCAAATATGCAGCAAGCTTTCTTCACGATCGCGTTAAAATAAATCATGTTAACTAATATTCTTAATAACAAATCCATAAAAAAATCAAATAATAAAAAAGCGAACGCACGATGGTTTTACACAAATGGTTTCTTTTTATTAAAAAAAATGAATAAGCAAAAATGTATTACCTTAAAATTTAGTGAACTGCTTAAACAAATCAAATTTCTTAAATTAAACATAATACTAGAAGCTACATCACATAACGATCGAATGTACATAATGTGAGAAATGTAAGGAATTTCTATGTCAATTGTTTGACATAGATTTCAAAACATTTTGGTCATTTTTCAACGGCCTGTCAATCTAAAAGGCTCACCAGTAATTACTAATACCTCCGCTAACCAAACTGAATTTTACTTAACATTTACACAGCTGTTAAAATTGTATTCGACGCAGCGCTAGCCGAGGCCAATATAGGATTTGCAGCTGTGTACGAGTCCAATAAAATCGGTATGGTACACGACAATGTACTTAAAAAAAGAAATATGTATGTCACACCGCCAATTTTTTTATTAGATAGCACATATTAAGTTAGACAACATTTTAAATCAATTGTTTTCTATTTAAGATACAGTTACTAAGAGTACAAGATGGATCTGATATGGAACTATTGGACTAGGAAAATGAAAACAAGACTAAAATGTGTAAAATATTGATTTTGATACGTATCTTGGACTCGGAAAATGAAAACTAGTCTAGAAAGAGTACAAATGCGGGTTTTACATGGATCTTTAATAGGGTTATGAAAACAAGGCTAAATTTTAAGACCTGATTCAATAATGATTATTATTATATACAAATAAATGAAATATAGTGAAATATTGATGAAATAAAATGCAAATTTCATTTTCCATATTTTCATTGTAAAAATTTATTTTTCACTGCAGTGAAACATATTTTACGTATTTTCACCGGTGTCTTGTCGGACTATTTTCTTCTAAATTCAGCCAATACACAAATTTTAAGGGGAAGCCTTTCAAATTATAATGTCAAAAAAAGAGAGATAAATGTGCATAATAAAAAGAAAATTCACGTTGTTTCTATAAACACAGGATTTATTTTCATTTCGTAGCATGAAAATTATATTTCACTCGTGACTACCGCCACGCATTTTTTCATACCACTTGATGAAAATAAATCCTGTATGTGAAGAAAAAAACTTAAATATCATCTATATACATGTATTGGAACATCGTGAAGTGCAAATGGCAACATGTCAAACTGATTGCAAAAAAAACCCACATTTTATTAAACGATTTCAAGAACTTGCCATAAAGCGTGTTTATAATGCATTGAGCTGTTAAACTGAGGGCATTTTTATTTGACATTTCGTGACCTTTGTTACAAATTCCTGGGCGAGTTTTTTATATGAAAACAATTTCAAAATTATTTTCATCATTCACATCAATGAAATAAAAAGGTTTTTGACTTTTAAGCGGGATTTATTTTCGACAATGTTATAATACAAATGAATTGTAAAGAAATACATGATGGTTATACATAGTGCATGAAGACAAAGCGATGTCCAATCGGAACATCTTCGGCTATTTACTTGTCCGAAGACTGACGGAAAGGGCCGAAAAGTTGCGATTGGCCATGTGATACAAAATAAATAATAGGCAATGAGGTATACATATTACAGGAGTATGAGATACAGTAAATGGTAATAACATGGTGTATATACAAATGATGATCATTAAAATTAAAATATTCCACACGAAAAGGAAATAAATATGTGTAACAATACGTCTAAGCGATATCTTGTATTATTATAGTAAAAGAAGAGAAAAATGTTTATTGATTCCTCAAAACACTTGAGAAGACCTTAAATGAATGTGCCTACCCCCATACCCATCTGTCTATCAGATAACGCCCCTATTCTGATTACGCCCCTTTTACACTGTTCTTATTTATTTACTAATTAATTACCATGATGGGCCTATAAACCGAAGATTCGTGATTCATACTATCTATTATACGTTTTGCTTTATCTAGAATCTTATTTTAGTACATCAGTAAGTATATCAGTCGTTCAATTTTAACAAAATCCGAAAAAACATATTGTGAAGATTTTGCCAGATGGATTTATCTGTATGTATAAACTGCTACAATCGTTAACTTTATTGTATTCTTAGGATACAAATGCGAATGTTCCAATAAAAGTAACACACAGTTTCAATAAAAGTGACACAATTTCAATAACAGTGTCACACTGTTCCAATAACAGTGTCACACAGTTCCAATAACAGTGTCACACAGTTTCAATAACAGTGTCACACAGTTCTAACAACAGTGTCATACATTTTCAATAACGGTGTCACACAGTTCCTATTATAGTGTCACACAGTTCCAATATTAAAAAAAAGTCTCTCAGTACTAACAATATTATAACAGTTTCTAATGGTTCCAATAACAGTGTCTAATGTTTCCATTAATAACAGTGTCAAATATTTCTTACAATAACATTCCGACACAATTCTGACAATAACTGTGCCACACAATTACAACAAAAATGCCAAACAACAGTTTTAGTAACTATGTCACATGGTGTCATACTTCAAAACCAACAGCATTAAGTTTAACCACCCACTAGCTACTGTCGCCAACATTAACAAAAAACCTTGTGGAATGTGTAATAATTCAAAAGTAAACGTTAACTCAAACGCCCCCTACCCCCGAACCCCTACTAAATGAAATAGTGCTTATTACCCATGGATGAATCAACCGGAACTTGTAATTTTGTCAAAATTTATAGCAATAAAGTCCGATGAGAAGACAACCTTTATAAAAAAGGCTTATTATATAGGTTTTGGATTTTTTAATCGTTCTATACTGCTGTTATTGACAGAATTTCAAGTTCCTGTGATGTATCGCTGTGTTAATACTGTAACAAGTTCATAAGCAGATATGTTCTTTGTCTTTAAAAATGTGCTGAGATGATGCAGGTTCGTATCATTTTATGATAAAATTGCACTTATTCAATTGTACGAACATTATTTTTCCGCTGAAATTTTAAGATCCATGATTAACACAGAATTTACACACGCGCAATTATTAATTCTCCCATAACAACAACAACAACAACAACAACAACAACAACAACACACAAACAAACGGTTGTTCTATTAATAGCACTCTTTGGTCATCAGATCCTAGTAATACTGTATTACTTCTATAATTATCCAAATGTTCTATCTATAGAAAATACAGTCATGCGCGGCAATCGAATCCATTTTAACTAAAAATTTAAACCCTTTACTTTCCATTATTTTTCTTAGTCTGTCTGCTCCGCCTTCCACTTTGTCATATTCTATAGAAATAGCTCTTATTTTAACCTTGTCTAAAGGAATATTATTGACTATGCCCTCCTCCGCTCCTTCGACGTCTAAACTAAAATAGTCAACAGTTAATTGGTTCATAGCAAGTAATATTGAATACAAGGGAAAACATTGCACTGTTATTTCTTTAAATCCCTTTTTCTTCCATTCGGCTTCACTCGTTAAATTTTCCACCATTTTTCCATAGAACGACGTCGGTAAAAATTTCACCTGAAATTATAAAAGAAAGAAAAATGCATTCAAAGTTATCTTCATCTGAAGGCATGTGTCCTATAGAGAAGCTGTATTAAGGCAGTTGTCCTATCGAAGTCCAGTATTTCCTATTGAGAAGTTTGACTTTAAAAGTATATGTATTTGTTCTAATTTGGACGCTGTATTTTGGAGGCATTTTTTACATTAAGATTCTACATTTCAAAAGCATTTGTCCTATTTGTGACGCTTAATTTCGAAGTCAAGGGAATTTGTCACAATGATATACTGTATTTTAAAGGCATTTGCCCTTTGGAAAACGGTAATTCAAAGCTTTAATTCATTTGAATGTCTGCAGGAATAAAATATATTGACTTACATTGTATATATAAAATACCTTAGAAATCGGACGGATGCGGGCGGACCCATTGCAATTAATAAGTCATATGAGGTCTTTATTGACTCTCTAGAATACATGTATAGAAGGGAACACGCTAACCTAGAATATAAACCGTAGATGACTTGTGCAGCATCGAACAATGATAATATTGGCAAAAAATAAGAGATGAAAATTAGTATAAATTTGGAAACAGTGATGTAAGTTTTCTTTTAAGTATAATTTGGAAAAGTGATGTACGTCTTTTTTAAGTATTAGTGACTTGTGCAGAAATAATTCAACATGTACATAATACCTATATAATTCGAACTAGGTGTAACGTATTGAAAAAAAGAAGAAACTGCTTTAAAACGGAGTCATTGATATAAATAAATAAATGCATAGCATTATTATACATGGAGGCGCACTAACAAAATCAATAGTCAAGTCTGTTGAAGTGAAACCATGCATGTCTTTACACGTGATATGTATGAATATTTCATGATGTTTATAAAATATTATTACAACCAAAACAATTTGAGATATGGGAATTGAGAGCAAAAAAAAAACAGAATTATTTTGTAAAGACCAGGGGATGCCTCATTATTCTACTGCATTTCTATAAATGACGCTTATAAATGTAGAAATTATTACGACTTTTTTATTCATCCAAGCTATGGACACATTTTCGGCCAATTGAATGTTTATATCATTATATAATGTAATAAATTCTCTTAAAAAATCACTTTAATTTAGGACCCACATGTACATATAACCAAAATGTGCTTTGCACTTATTGCAGACGGCGGCAAAATGTCGCTAAATGAAAGATTAAAATTTTTTAAGTTCGTTTTTTTTTTCTTTATATAATTCTATTTCTATATTTCTTACAAATTATCAAAGGGAATTCGATTATGCATATACATATATGCATTATTGCGGATTTATTTTGTCATAATTTTCTCAAAAAAGCGTCGGAGAGGATTTTAGTCGGTCCTTTTAATAAAGCAGACCACAACGTCAATAGTCTCAGTGGGAAGTGCATTAGACCTTACCGTAGATGGATATGGAACGACGCTAACACAAGCGTTCAATGTAAACGATTTTCTATGCTTGTCTTTTAACTGCTTATATATTTGTGGTTGAGGCTCTATTAATATCCCAGTCCAACCACGGATTCTCTCAAAGAACAGCGTGTTCGACTGTATTTCTCCATCGTGTGCCCCGCTGTCAACAAAGAATCCACCTTCCTGTCAACGAAAGAAAAATGATAATTGATTAAATTATTTAATAGACTGAAGTAATACTCAAGCATGTGTGACAAAATATCGATTGATACTTCAGTTCAATACTGTTAATTGAATGGTGGATTTATAATATTTGCGGTCCGTGACGGTCCACACAATGTATTTTAATTTGGCTAAGATACCGTAAGCAGCAAATGAACGCGCATAGCGCGCGCATAGCGCGATAAATCATCCAGTACACGTGCTATATTGAACTCTAATGACTCATGTCAAGTCGCTTGTAAAACGAAAGCGTTTTATATTACATAATCTCTGAACCATCAACACTAAAGGATAAATGAATAAATTGGTGATTTAATCCGTGAAAGATCATACATGTATAAAACCGATATTGAACGGATTTGTTTACTTGTTATGTAAAACGGACATATTTTATGTGTTTATGCTTTTTCTGGCCACTTCTAGCGGTCGTTCATTATACATGTGATGCTAAAATTGCGACATAAAGTCGTATTATTCGATATTTTTTTTCTGTAACACTTGGTGTGCAGATGCTACAGTAAGGAAAACGAGAAGCTGTATCTTACGGAAGCCTGTAAGGGACATTTAATGTTTATAAATCTTTACATAGGAAAACGAGAAGCTGTATCTTACGGAAGTCTATAAGGGACATTTAATGTTTATAAATCGTTACATACCAACTATTTACATATACGTACATACGGCATAAAACAAAAAAAAACGTTTGCTTAAAAATTTATGAAATTTTGCAATATGATCGTATGTACTTAAAGCAGCAGTACAAACATCCTTAACAACATAATAGTCAATCAGTCAATCAATCAATCAATCAATCAACTAATCAATCAACTAATCAATCAACTAATCAATCAATCAAAATTACAATATGGGTAAGACAAACATTAAATTCCAATTTAATAGGTTTTTTTAGAGTAATCATCGACCCTTCTTCAGCATACTTAAAATGTATTTTTTCCAACTAATAGCTACTGAATAATGTACCCATATTTACTTGCCATATTTCTTAACGTTCCATCCACAAACATTGCCTGGCCATAAGACGCATCCCTTCTTCCCGGCTCTAACAGTTTGTACGGCTTATCGGAGGGCGGTTCAATATAATAATTCCTGATCAAGTTAACTAAACGCGGGTCGTCTGCTTTCACCCGCTCTTTGTTTAATTTCTCCATTTCCTTTCTGAAGTCAAATCGGGAGTCTCTGGTAACATTGTACGGCAGATGTGTATATTTTGTCCCCTTTGATGCGACATTTACTAGCAGATCTTTTTGTTCACAGTCTTTAATTCCATATGCAATGAATAAGAGCGCCAACACTACCACAACTGAAAGTCCAACTAGTAAACGAGCCTGCATTCTGGATCCGTTGAAACAATATTTCTTGTTCATACTGAAAAAGAAGAAATTTACATGTATTTCAAAGATTAAACTTGTGTTGTTTTGTTTTTGTCGGTTTTTTATCATGGACTATTATCGCAGAAGTTTGTTTACCAAAACTTAACACTATGACATGTTAAGATAATAGTTTGTACAGATACGCACGCGGTGACATTTTCATGATAGACAAGACTTGTAAGGATGTTTTATTCACTGCATTATTATGAGACGTCCGTGGTCCCGAAATATGGCCTCGTTCAAATTTATTAATGACACAGATATGGTGTTTTGAAGCTACAGAAAACTTCTTGTATTTCTCTATCATTGAAATTCTTTCTTGTTTGTGTGTAGGAAATGATCAGTATTTTTCTAATATTTACCCGAAACTTAAACCATTTTGGTAACTTTGTATGTATTTTTGGCTCTCGAAATGGAGGTTAGAAAGTTGGAAAATGAAGCATTGACAGTTGGCGCCCCCTTAACGATCGTTAGAATTTCGTAAAAAATGCCGTAAAAATGTTATAGAAAATATATTCCTTTTTAAAGAACAAATAACGTTTCTTTGTTGAAAGAAATGGAAACGGTAACAGTAATTAAAAATGGAGTCCCAAAGGAACAAACACTAAACTGTTGGCTCTCGAACATTAATTTTCATCTCAAGTGATATATCCAAAATAGATAATAAACAGTTTAAACAATGCAAGCTGGACATGTACATTTAAACAAATCAGTTAAGGGTTCAATTAAAACAAACGTACTAGTTTAAAATTTAGTCATTTTTCTATTTTCTTTATTTATACATTTGATTGGGAATAAACGAACATAAAAACAAGTATGTTGTATATAAACAATATATTTCTCTTCGTCCACCATATATATTGGGATTTTTACGCTATGAACTATTTAAAAAGTCTTATGACATCATCAAAACATCCTAAAATTGCACTGGACGAGTCCAAGAAAAGTGTCAGGGAAGACACACTCCGGACGCTCAGCGAGTGAAACAATTGAGAGTTTTAGACCTCTTTAACTTCGCCATCTTGATCGACGACTGCCTGGATCCTACATCTTAAGGATCAGAACCCCTCAGAACAAGTCTTGCAGCCTCTTGTTATGTCTTTACTTTGATAGAAATTGTTCAACATTCATTCTCAATACCGATTTATTTTTAATTGTTCGAAAAAGGTCACGAACTATGTATGACTTTGAAAGCCGCTCTTTGATGGTCAGTAAACCGTTTTTAGGAGTCTTTATCTCTGAAGGAATCTATTTGGAAAACAATTATTTGTAACATAATGTAATATGTACTGTGATCCTCTTTGGAATCGTTTATTGCAATAGAAAATTTTTGCTCATGACTGGTCCACAACCTGAAAAATATGTGTGTAATTATAGTTGCAGGTAAAATATTTAAAATTGTTCAAAAATGTTAAGAAATAGAAATTAGGGAGGGGGAGGTGCTAAATTTTATCATTTAATCATGACATGAATATATTGCATCACTATAAATATGTCAAAAATCAGTAAAAATGTAAAAAGAATAAACAAAAATCTTATTAAAATTGTAAGTGCTTAACGGGGGAGATATTTGTTTAAATATGGCTACTAGAGCTATAAGACTCTCCATAAATAATGTCGGTGATGATAAGCAAAATTTTTTTAAAGGTTTGAAATAAATCTCTAAATAAATAGTGAAGTAATAGTAAAAACAGGAAAATATAACATTTTTTTTTTTTTTTCAGAAAAAAATCCTAGTTCAATTTTGGCATTAAGTTATAAACCATGGCTGGTGACAATAAACAAGTATTTAAGTTATAAACCATGGCTGGTGACAATAAACAAGTATTTAAGTTATAAACCATGGCTGGTGACAATAAACACAAGCTTAGAGAATCCCTCAAAGTTGTAATGAAATTTACTGCACAAAAACTAAAAACGGACGCCAGTGTAAGACAGCTCTCCATATACATGTATAATTCGTATAGTCGAGCTAGAAACCTTAGATAAGTATCGTTTTCCTGTTTTTAGTTAAAGCATTTAAAACCAGATATGATTAAGTCACCAATTTGTTAATGAAGTGTACCGTCTGATTATAGGGATATGCTGTTAGAAATAGGAACAATTTAAATATTTCAAAATTTTAAAGTAACTCCACTGAGGTCCAAAGCCTACACAACATAAAAATTGAATCTCTTACATAAATCACACGGGACAATTAAAACTGAAAAATCTGCAAATGATTTTTTAAGAGATGCGCGCAGAAATTAATTGACAATTGTATTTTTGTGCTATTTTTAACCCGATTTGAGTGAAAAGCGTTGAAAAGCTTTTCAATTTTGCGTCATGTGTCACAATTAGAATAATTGGGGAGCGGTGGCCTAATGGTTAAGGTGTCTGCCTCTCAACCCAGAGATCATGGGTTCGAGCCCTACTCGGGTCACGACCATGTTTCTTCATATGACACCAGTACTGGTTGGTTCCAGGAAGCAGAATGGAAAGTGATTAATATAAGTTGCAAGAACTTGTTTCGCAATCGAGCTTAAATAAATATGTTTAAACCAATTAGAATAATTATTCTGGAGAAAAAACAAAACGGAATGAGTGAATGATCTGACATTTTGCACAAAAGCTTTTGGTGTAGACCTACATCAGGTGGAACGTTATTCTCGAAAAAAATTATGTTATGCCCTGTCATGTCAAAAACCTCAGTGGAGTCCCTTTAACCTGCTGAAACCGGACGTGATTTGTCTTAGCCATCAGCATAGAGCCAGCAAGGGCCTGCACATACCGTGCAGTCTGACCAGGCTCTAAACTGTTGTAAGCACTACTCTTTTTCTATTGAAATGAATTCCCTTCAACTGTGAATGGACCATTCTTGCGTTTCCATAAGTTTTACACATGCCGGAAATTTCATCTGGCACGAGGTGCCACATAAATCGCTTGATATATTTTTACCGTTATGAATGAAGTTGCAATTTCATACGCTGCTGCAAGCTAATAATTTAGAGTGCAGTGACCTAAATTTCCATGGAGAATTGCTTTATCAAGGTAAAGAATTTAAAATATAATGGAATGTGGTAGACGCTTCGAAATTTGTGAAGTTAGCAGACTAGCAGGATAGTACAAACATGAAACCGTCGGAAATAAATCGGTAGCACATACTTAAAACCATTCTACGTCTTATTTCATAATCGCGATCTTTATTTTTCTAAATATTGAACTTTTTTTTGAAACTTAGACATTTGTTAAGTTAGCAGCCTAGCAGCCTGAAGAAAGCAAAGGATAATATAAACATGAAAACCGTCGGAAATAAATCGGTAGCACATACTTAGACCATTCCACGTCTTATTTTAGTATCGCGATCTTTATTTTTTTAAATATTGAACATTGTTTTTTTTTTGTTTTGTTTTTTGACATTTCGAAATTTGTTGAATTAGCAGCCTAGCAGCCTGGCAGCAGCAGCCTGACAGCCTAAAGAAAACTAAGTAAAATACAAACATGATAACAAAAAATAAAAGACAATAAAGTTCAATATTTAAAAAAAAATTGTCATGTTTGTACAGGATGCCAGGCTGTTAGGCTACAAGGCTGTTAGGCTACAAGGCTGTTAGGCTGCCAACTTCAGGCTGCTAATCTGTTATGCTGCCAACTTCAGACTGCTAGACTGCCAACTTCACGAACATGACTCTTTTATATATAAATGTAAATTAGTCTATACTTGCATAACATTATTTGTAAAAGTTCCTTTAACACACTTTGTATAGATCTTACATGTATTAGGCTATGTTTCTATTTGTAGTTGATGTAAGTGTATATGTTTCATTTTTCGAGAACACTAGGATATCTGGTCAATCCTTGTGTAGATATAGATTGATACATGAATCTATTTTCAAAAGTTAGCCAGTTTAATTTAAGGGAAAGCTGTAAAGATGGCGTTTTAACTTGTTTACACAATATTATCTTCGCTGAAAGTCACTTTTTCAAATTCAGTTCTATTACAAGTACTCAATATAATACAACAATGATCAAGACAATGTAAAATATGAGCATTGTAAAACATTTCTTTCATTTCAGCGGATAAAAAGTACGATATACGCTTTAAGGGAGCAACTTGTTCTTTGTAATTTATTACAGACGTGCTTTATTTGAATATTCCGTTTTAAAATTTCATCTACAAGTTTCAAGAGTTTATTCAGCATAAACATACAATCATCGTGGGTATCCAACGATGACATACAATATTTTCATTGCTACACATATGATATAATACCTGATAAATTCTGTGATTTCGTTTGACTTAGACATGACGTACCTTCTTTATTCTATATCTAAAGAAAGTTTTGATTTTAATTTATTTTCTGATCCGACCCGAACCTCAACACATGACAGATATTATTAATCCAAATTCAAACCTGGGAAAATACATAACATGAATTCAGCAAGTTAAGATTAAATTATGGCTAAACATAATAACAAAAATGTTCAACAAATAATGACAGAAAATAAATACATACCGATGGTTTCTGGCAACGAAAATGACGTATAAATAGAACGCATCAAGTAAAAAATATATGCTGTATAAATGACCCTAGCGTTGTTATAAATTTCCGTTTTATATTTCAATTTGCATACAATTAATTATATATTCAAATTTTGACATATTACAAATACACAAGATAAAAATAACAGAAGTACTTGTTATTGTTTTGTATCAATTGAACTTAATATTCTCAACGTAAAACTAATACAGATCTATATAATTGCATTTTCTGCAGCTAATGGAAATAACATGCAAAAACATTCGAACAGAACAAAATTATATGCTAAATAAAGTGCGTTACCATACTTCTTAATATCCTTTTTGTGACGAATATTTTATGCGTTATCCGGTTACTCCTTAGAAAACAATTATGGTTTTATTCAATGGATTGAAATGAGTTTTTTTTTCCATTTAGACGCTTGACTTAACAAGCGTCTTTCACACACGACAAAAAATGTCTGATTATCGGAAAT